CAGCTTCTATGTATGTGATTAGTAGCATTCTTAAAAAGCAGCCTTTCAAATCATTAATCCTTTTTTCGTTTGTAGACATTTAGTCCTAAGTGTAAATATAGGTATGTCTGTATTATATGACCATAATAAATTAACATTCACTTCAGACATTTAAAATCTAATCATTGTTAGCCAGACATGGTGGTGCACGCCTTTAGTCCCAGCACTCAGGAGGCAGAAGCAGGTGGATCTCTGTAAGACTGAGGCTAGTCTAGTCTCCATAGCAGGTCCAGGTCAGCTGGGGCTACAGGGAGACCTTGTCTCAAAACAAAACAAAACAAATCTGATACACTGTTGTGAATTTCTTATTATTCTATATTCTACAAGGTACTAATTTATTCTGTAATTATAAGTTCCATTCTACTGGACCATTAATTAAAATAAATGAATAAAGTATTATATCACAGAAAAGTCTAAACTTTTATTCTTACCATCTGAAATTTTTAATTTGTAGCCTAGGCTTGTGTTCAACATTTTGCCTCTATTTTTACCCTGTCTGCCTTTTTCTATAGGTAGTAGCAAATAAATAAAACTAAGCATTGGATTTTGAAATACTTGCTGACTTTTGAGACTAAGAAGTTTCTGTCACTTACTGGGTAGAAGGCGTAGGGAAGTGTGGTCTTTGGCTTAACATCACCCACAGTGTTTAATTCCAGCTGCAGATGCTCGAAGTGGGAAGAGCCGCAGCAGTGGCTCGTATGAAGAACAAGATGTGACCAGTGGAATCAACCAGAATGTGGCCCTGGCCATAGCAGGGAATCATTTTAACTTGAAGACAAGTGGATCATTGTTGTCTTCCTTGGTATGCTGCTGCACATTTCTCAGGTTTCTTTTTTTGCGGGTGTTTCCTCCTTGTCTTCTGATAGAATCCAGCTTAGAGCAAACAGGGATGGTTTCTGCCTCGAGGAGTCAATAAGGCTGGCAGCTGAGGAGCACTGGTATCAGACAGAGTTCTGGCAACAGCAACAGATGTACAGGTCAGATTCAGTCGGTCCCAATATGCCAAGTTCAAGGCTCAAGAGGTGAAGTTAGAAACCCTGAGACTATTCATTGCAAAGATCAAGCCAAGGCTTCCTTCAATGGTTTAGGCGAGTTTTACTCTGTTTATTAGTCATACTGTGTTTGCCTCCAAGAAATGACTGAAGGGGCCAGAAGTGTCTTAGCAAAAGACTTCGCTTTCCTAGGTCCCCAGGGAGCAGAAGGAGCTTAGATTGACTGATGTCCTCTGGTAGGGACTTGGGTCTTACAGAGGGGCTCTCTGAGGAATGCAATCTCTGCTGCACTTGAGATGGGATTCATCTCTGTTTTTGTAGATGAGCTCTGATGATCCCTTGTCAAAACAACACTTCATCTTACAACTCAATGCTTCTATTGTTTTGTTTGTTTTGATTTGACTTGATTTGTTTTATTTTGTGATCCTCGGGATAAGCCTAGGGCAACCCAGAGCCTAGCAACCCATTTAACTTTGCCTTTCTATGTCTGATCTATTTCTGCAGGGAACTTGCTTGGTTCTCTTCTGAAGTCACTCTTCTTTGCTAGTGACTTTCTACTTTTCACTCTAGCACTGAGTGGCAGCAGCTCCCTTCCCCCGAGCCTAGGCGAGCTGGGGAGGCGGAGGGATAAATAGGAGATGTTTGAGATTTGCCATCACTGAGCTTACTGTATAATAAACACTGTATTTTATGACCTCCTCTACCTTTCTGATAGTCTACCTTACCAAAATGTCCTGCTTGGGGCAGTATCTACCTTTTATATTAATTAAAGAGTGTGGAAGCTAGAACAAACTTCCTGTGAAATTATAGCTGAAGATTTTCATTTCTTCTTGTCGACATACTCAGAATAGCATAAGCGAAAGTAACCATCATCTCTGTTATCTCCAAGACTAACGTTTCTTCACATAGCTCACAAATACCTCACCGCACTGTCACCGCCGCATTCCACTGGATATTAGCTGTGCTGCATGAAGCAAGGGTGCAGCCTCCTGTTGTCTGTGTTGGTGTGATGAGCCACATCAAGTGTGCTCAGCACTCTACAGCAATCACATATCCAGAGAATTACAATAAATGGCCTGAGAGCCCATGCCCACATTCGGGTAAATTATGGGTAACGTCCCATTGCAGAAGGCTCCACAGACACATGGATCTGGTTCATTTGCTGAGCAGTTTATGATCTTTATGGTATGCTTTGGGCTATGTAAAGAAGCTAAATTCAGCAGGGCAGCCCTCAGGAGGCAGATAGATCGATCTCTGTGAGTAACAGGCCAGTCAAGGCTACATAGTAAGAGCCTGTCTCAAAAACAAAGTAAAGCAAATCAAAAAGAAGCTATTGTGCTCAATTATTCATGGAACCTTGCCAGGCTAACTCTCTTCCATCCCTCCACTAGCCAGCTAAAAGGAGAAATCCTGGAAGATCTTAGCCGTAAGAAAGTCCCTTAAACATCATTGAGACTGGAGAGCATGGTCACAGTCTAGGGCAAGCCACCAAACTGCATTGTTCCTAAGCAGAGGGTGCTCAGATCTGTGTTTTAAGGTGGGGCTCAAACGCTGCCCAAGGTGACCCTCTGCTGAGCAGTCCAGCACAGAGCACACATTCCCCTGTGTAGGGA